CCATGAGGAGTCCAGCGGAGCCGATCCATATGGGTAGGGGTGAACAAACACACCCGCAAACCGACCCACCCGTCCAACCCGACCCAACCCACCCGTATTTATCGCTAAAACAAAGGTTTTGGGTTGGGTGAAGGTTTTCTTTTGTACAACCCGCCTCTTTTGGGTTGGGTTTGGATTTTGGATTACACAACCCGTAGAACCCGACCCAATCCGTGTTCCAACTATTAGTATGAGTTCGTATCTAAAAAATATTTATGTCGTATATAGCAATACTTATGAGAAAATTAAGATATTTCGCCATATTTTTCTATCATGGTCTCCCTAATCTAATGCATTCTTCGACTTAAAGTTTAGACATAAGTTGAGTATAGTTATGATTAACGTAATCCTTTTTCTTGTGTACAATTTTAATAGAATAACATATTATGGATGCGTTTGTTTATAACCTTTTTAGCCTATTTCAACAAATATCGTGAAAAAAACTAGACATATGTTGAAGTAAATCACATTTTATTAAAATTCAAACAACAATTTTGAATTGTGATAGCTTTCACCTCGGTTTATTCGTTTGAAATTTTAATTAGTTATAAAATATTTTTATGATGTATAATAATTATATATTTTTATGTTGGGTTGGGTTTTTACTTAAAAATATCGCCAACCCGACCCAACCCAATTAGAAACAAACCGTAGGGTTTTAATTTTTTTGTGTGGGTTTGGGTTTGATAATTTCCAAACCGTAGTGCATGGATCGGGTGATTAAAATGGTTAAACCTGAACTACCCGACCCATTTACACCCCTACATATGAGATCTCTAATAGCCACTTCTTTCGCCTGGTGTCTCTGGTGGAACAGAGTGGACACTATGCACATGGGAGGCCTTATTATGAGGATATCCCGACACTTGCATGTTGATCTGGCTCACTGCACCAGCGTCGGGAGGATATAACCCTTCACAGTGGAGGCACTTTACAACCAGAAGCTGGTTCTCCAGGTAGAGCGAGGAGTGGAGTAGCTCGAGGGACTCCGACCATCCGAAGCCATTAGAGTAGGAGTTGCCCTGGCTCCAGTGGAGCCTGACCCCGAGGTCCCACTACCAGCAAAGCAGCTACATGCTCGAGCACCCGGCCGCCGCTAGCATCCCACGCTCTAGTGCCCAGCACATCCACCACCAACAGCAGCAGGTGATCCCCTCGTCCACAAGGTGGATCACCTAGAGACGAACTTCGTGGGATTCTCTTCCCGTCTCGAATGGCAGACCGATCTCCTCGAGTTGATGGCTCGATGTCAGGGCCTCCTCCCAGATGAGGGGGAGGGTCCTTCCACCCGCGAGAGGTAGCCGACAGTGAGATACGTGGCAGAGCCGATTTCTTTCGCCCCACTTCTCCACTTGTAACCCTGAATTTGTTGTTTTTGTTATCTTTCTTTCTTGTGTGTGTGTGTGTGTGACCATAAACTACTACTACTATCATATTGTGTTTGTCATAACCTCTCCTTGAGCGAGTTGTATTTTGTTTGTGTGTGTGTTTTTGTCTCTCCTTGAAACTCAAAATATCCTACCCCGGAATCGATTCCAACTTTCACTCACCAAGCCCAATTGGTAACATCATTCTACCCCTTTCTTACGCCATTGAGGGCAATGTCGAGCTTAAGTGTGTGTGTGTGGGGGGGGGGGGGGGTAGTTTACTATTATGCTTATGTGAGTATGATTGATGCTTGGAGCCTTATATATGCCCAAATTTCAAAAATTTGAGGGCTCCAATCAATGTTTGCATGATCAAAGTGGCTGGTGTGTGGGAAAATCTCGTGTTTATTAGCATTGATCTTGAATTGTTGCATGTGATCGAGTTTATCCTATGATGATGATTAAGAGGTCCATTAGGATAGTGCAAAAGTTTAGTTCTCATGCGTGCATAAATGAATGGACGCCTTGACTCGTTTACTTATTGAATACAATTGCCATGCATTGTGTTTGTGAAATGGAATAGATGGTTGGGTGACTAGGTAGCCATGTGAGCTTTAAGCCGATCGTTTTCTTCTTGAGTGCTTAGATCCCTCTTACCATGGCGTGTAACATCATAGTTGTCACTAGTGAGTATGATGGAGGCATAGGATTAGTCCACGCCCAAATGTTGATTGTCCCGAAATGTGTTACCCCTTAGTCAACCTCTTTGAGCCTTGTGACTTCGAGGGTCATTCTTAAATTAGGAGCTTCTTGCTAGTGAGCTTAATGGTGTTAATCAAGCGACCCCGAATCCTTTCTTAGTGTCTAAACATGAATCGTCCTTGTGTCTCGGAGCTCTCGCTTTCGAGTTCCATTGAGGGTCTACATAGGAGGTTTGTGTGCGGTTCTTGCTAGGAATGAAAAATGAAGTGTAGTGTTGGAGTAAGTTCTTCAAAAAGAGAGCATTGGTCGTTAAAAATGTAGGTGGCAAGGTTTTACTCTCTAGTACCCCCCTTAATTAGAAAAAGAAATAAAAGAGAATCGAAAAAAGAGGTAATAAAATGGGGTAAATAAAGTAGAGAGTGCCACGGAAAACCAAAGTGTATGCTCTAGGGGGGTTTCTTGGCACTCAAGCCACTGAGACCCCCACATTGTTTTAGAACTGCTTCACTACCAAACCTTAATGTGATAGCAAGAGTTGACCGAGGAAGAGTGCCTTGATGTAGTTCACGATGGGTGATAGTTTGGAAGGGAGAGATAAGGATTTTGGCCGATGCTAGTGGCCTTTGGTTGAAGAAAAGGGTTTTAGTCGGAACCATAGAACCTTCGGGTTTAGGTTTCCCCATGTCCAAGAAAATTGCCAGTCATCTGAACCCGTGTCTAAGATCTCCGGACAAGCTAGTGATGACAACCATCCCTTGAACTCTAGCATTTAGAGGTTACCGCCGTGGTATTGACACGATAGGGCCGATAGTTGATGATTGTGCACATATTTTGCACCAAAAAGGTCCTAACCCCAATGGTCTTGAGAGTGAGTGATTCATTCTTGTTTTGCATGCCATATCATACCCCGGCGAGGACCTTTGTTGCCTTTCATTTGTTCCTCGGACTTGAATTCTATGCATGGTCAGTTATGGTTGATAGGTGGTCTTGTTGAGACTTGCATTGATCCCTGAACAAGGTGAGAAATTTTCGTTTCCCCATTTTTGGTGCCTTCGAATATCGTTTGTGGTGGATGTCAGTATTGCTTGCAACGGTCCATGCATTAATTGCCAATAGCCATTGAGAATTCCCGCTTTGTGCCCTTTGAGTTGTCCCCAAAAGTATTTGTGTAGGTTGAAATATTACCTTATGTGAAATGGTTTGCTTGGGGACAAGCAAATGTCTAAGTGTGGGGGAATGATTCGGGCCTAATTGCAGATATTTTAGCCCCGTTTTCCTTAGGCGTCTGTGGGAATTTTGCTCCTAAAAGGGTGGTTTTACTCGAGGTTTCTTGTGTTTTAGCATGATTTCAGGATCTAGCAGGTGAAACCAGCCCCGGGGTTGAAAGTTGGACGAAAAGGAGCAAAAACCAGGAGAATGGGTGAAAAATCATCAATCAGTTCACGGCTTTCCTTGGAAGTTCACGGTCTGCTTAGACCGTGAAGAAGAGTTATTGCCCGTGAACATCAAGGCACCAGGGCCAAATCTCAAGTTAAGACGTGAACTGGAGCTGTTGCCTGTGAACCAGTGCAAGCAAAACAGTACGTTTCAACGCCCATTTTGAGTTCACGAATGCGTTTCAGAGTTCACGGCCGTGAACTGACCACGATCCCTATTTAAAAGAAGAGCTGAAAGGAAGAGAGAGGGAGAGCCCAAAAGAGTGAGAAAGTCTTCTTCTTCAGATTTTAGAGAGAGAAAGACAAACCAAAGGAGAAGGAGGCTAGGGTTTTGTTCCAAGAGTGGATTTGGGAAGATTCTCTCCAAGAGAAGTTCATCACAAGTGCAAAGAAGATTGGAAGCCTCCCCATAATGGTTTCTACCTCTTCCCCTTTTGTTTCTCCCATTTCTAGCATGGAGTAGATTTCGTTTTCACTTGGGTGTTGTGAAACCCTAACTATCTACCATGTAGTTTTTGTTATGTGAATTGAATGATTGTTTATGGGTGTTGTTTAATTCAATGATTGAGGTATTATTCCTGTTGATGTACATGTTTTGTGCTTAGCAATCTAATTGGCCAATTTAACCTAGACTAGAGAGGGAAAACGCTCTTTCAAGGGAGGCTCAATTGAGTTGGTATTCCTAGGGCTTTTTATGTTACCTATCTAGGTTAATTTAGGGCCAACCTCGATGTTGGATTAAACAATTTGGTTAAGCGCGATTAAGTCGACCAACCATTGGGTTGAGTGAGGGAGTAAGTCAACCATCGATTGCCTAAACCGAAATGGCCGAGTGACAACCCATAATGTATCCCTCGGTTTAGCAATCGAGAGTGTGGTCTACGACCATATTTGTGTCCCCTAGCAGTTCGCGGTCACCTTGCCCATAGCAATCGTTTCGATTCACAGACCATAGTAGTAGTTAGGGGGAAGCGACACCCGAGTGATCCTTCTTACAAAAGAGCTTTCAAAACCATTTACTTTTACCTTGCTTTACTTTAATTAGCAAACGTTTCAAGCAAAACTGAGCGGCTAGATAATGATTCAAATGACTGAAGTAGGGGTACACGGATTGGCCCAAGTCGATATTTAAACATACTTACCCCATGTGGCCATGGTCACAAAAAACGCTCACTCCCTTAAGATTTTCCACGTCAAAATCACTGTCATATTCCTGATTCCAATTTTCCTTGACGGCTGTGATGCTTCTCCACTCATCCCCTTGAGCGAGGATGGAAGGAGTAATTTCATCTCCACCCAATTATCCAAAATTTACGCCATCCCTTTGCACTTCCATTCTCCTAACTCCATCATCGTTAGAACCCTGTTCACCCATCCCCTTCATGCCAAAATTGATGGTCGGCTTCGGGTCACCCTTTACCTTCATCTTTACACCATACTTGAAGCAATCGAACGGAGCATCGGTTTTCCTTTATTCGCGGAATCAATTTCAGAACGCGCTGGATTGACACCGTACAATAAACCTCTGATCAAACCTCCCATTCGTGGCCCAACACACCCCTGAACGGATAACTTCACTCCAATTCCTAGACCTGCATAAGTTAACGCAATCGTTGTCCCCCTGTTCGGCCCAGGTCCTGGCCAAGGTGAAGCTCTATTTTCTCCCTATTCTAGACCGATTTTTTGATCCTCTCCGCCCCCAGCACGCAACTCACCCACTTCCTCGTCAATTGGGAAGTTCCCCCATTCCAGTGTGCTTACGACTCTCGCCGGCCTTTCAAGATTTATGTCCTCTTCGTCTTCTCTCACCAGCTCGTGTCTCGCATCCCTAGTCGACGATTTCAAGGCATCTTGCACACAGTTCTTCATGGGAGAGGACTCTACCAGAATTGCTTCTTCTTTCGTGATATCGTTCAGCGTTGGAGACTCACTCTCTAGCTTCGCCGGGTTCAGGAGGGGTCGTTTTGCTTTCGGAGGGTTGGAGGCGATTGATGGGGACGCCGTGACGTTGCGGCCAGCAGCGAACCTCACACCCATCATGGTTTCTTTGTCGTCTGTCGCTTGCGACTCAATCTCTGTCTCCACGAATTTCGGGAAGACAAGCTGATAGCGATGTATTTGCACATGTTTGCACCCTTAGTTCTTATCCGTTTGCGGCGAGTAGTCGTGTATTTTTGGCCCGTTTTACGCCGGGTTGTGCTACTTTGTCATATTTCAAGTCCCAAACGTCGAAGGAAAGGCTAAGCACGAGTTTCGGGGCATTTGGAAGTCATTCGGTTGAGCTGGGGCCAAAGCACGGGCTGGCCTAAACCAAGACACGACCATGTACACAAACAGGCACACCAGTGTTTTTATTGCCAAGAGCTGAACTGATGGAAAAGCAAAACACGGGCTGGCCTAAATCAAAACACGGCCATGTCCATATTTAGGCACGACCGTGTTTTGGCCGACGCGGGCGTGTTTTTAACACAGGGGAAAACACGGGCGGGCAAAACCGAAGCACGGCCGTGCCCTCGACCGTGTTTTGCCCAGGGTCGGCCTCTTAGGCAGATTTGAGCCAAAGGAGAAGGAGTTCCGAGTTTTAGAGAGATAGAGCGATTCCTAGAGAGAGAAAGTGACGAAATTGAGTCTTCAAGTGCCCTAGCTTGATCTTCATCACCATTGGAGCCCGACTTGAGCTTGCAGAAGATCCGATTGAGTGCCAGAAGCAGATTATCATCCTTCACAGTATGGTTTCCACATCTGAGCTAGATTATCCATCTCTCTCTATGGAGTATTTTTCTTATTCATCTGGATATGGAGAACCCTAGATTTGTATGTTAGGTCTGATTGTATGAACCCCAATACAGATTCTATGATTTGATTATATTCAATTGAGGTTTGATTTATTGAATGACATGAATCCTGATCAAATTCCTGTTGTTTCTGCTTTAACTTAGAAAGAGAATATCTGCCTAGGTTGATAGAGCACCCTTAATTGAAGGTAGTGAATTGGCGACTTTAGTCGAGGAGCCAATTCACTATTCTGTACCAAATTTACTTTGGTAGTGGAGATTTGGTTCGCTAGGGCCTCAATCTTTTTACTCCGGTGGAGGTTAGTCGCCCGCTGGGGACTCAGATTGAGAGGGTCTGGAGACCTTTAGTCGAGACTTCAGACTGCTTAAGAACCTCCCGCAGTATAACTATCATTAAAACTGAACTTTGTAAATTACAATCCGTCTTAACTGCAGTCTAGGGGGAACCATATCCGGGTGACCTCTCTCGACTTGAAACAACCGTTTAATTGCTTGCTTGTTTGCTTGTTTGAACCTGCACTAAAGTTTCATCGCGAAATAATAAGAATTCGCTGAGTAGTCATCGCATCTAGGACCCGGGTTGACATTAGAACCCAAACTCGCTATACTACGCTTTAGGAAGTGGTTACACTTGGCCATTTTCTAGAGTGACAGTAGGAGTGAGTCAAGTTTTTGGCGCCGTTGCCGGGGACGGCTAGGTTGTTGAAGAAACGTGAATTCTGTTAATTTAGATTTTCTTTTCGCATTATTTGCTTTATCACACTTGTGCCTTCACGGGTTTGCTTGCTTGACTGTGCAGGTAGTGCATGACCCGTAGCCATTCGGGAGGTTTACTGCCATTGAATCCGCAGCTTGAACGCACCTGTCGCCAACTCAGGAGACAACAACGAGCTAGACTGGCTATGGAGGAGCGCATAGACAGCCATTTGAGCAGTGAGTCCGAGGACGAGTACAAGATGGAAAGAGATCGCAATCCACACCAGGGGAATCCTCACCAGGTTCCCCCGGTGAATCAGATCTTGGGGAACAACCCCATACCCCAGGCAGATGGGGGTCATCATCATCCACAGCCGCCGAGTCCCACCTTGGAGCACTATTACACTCCATGGATTGCTGACACCCGCCCCGTCATCCTCTACCCGCCTATTCCAGCGAACAACTTCGAGATCAAGCCATGCTGGATTAGACTCATTAAATCCTCTATCCAGTTCCATGGCTTGAAGGATGAGGAGGCAAGGGTGCATCTTTCCTATTTTCTGCAGCCGACGAACGGGTTCAAGCTAAATGGTGTCCCTGATGACGCAATCCGCCTTCACCTCTTCCCCCATTCTCTGGCTGGGAATGCTAAGAGGTGGTTGGAGACCCATCCCCCGTTGTCCATCACTTCTTGGGACGATCTGGCCGACAAATTTGTGCACAGGTACTATCCAGCATCAAAGACCACAGAGATCCAGCGGGAGATCACTCACTTCCGCCAAGAGCCAGACGAGTCACTTCGTGATGCATGGGAGCAGTATATGGGATATTTCTGGCAGTGTCCCCATCATGGATTCAGTGATGCATTCACAGTGGGGAACTTCTACAGTGCTCTCTCTCCGGACAGCCAGAGGGTGATTGAGTCTCTATGCCCAGGAGGGGATATTCTTACTAAGACTCCACCCAAACTGAACCAGATGATCAGTACCTTGGCTGCCAGAGATCATTCCTGGGGGCAGAGCACTAGAGGCAGGAATTTTCGGGACCGTGGTGTGCACGCCATTGAGGCCAGGTCCGGGCTCGAGCAGCAGGTGGCCGAGTTGGTGCAGACATTGAAGCAGCGCAACAGTCTTATTCCGGGCAGAGGTTTGGCTATACCTCCAGTAGCTCAATGTCAGTGGTGTGAGAGCACAAATCATCTGGTGGAAGATTGCCAGGCTATGCGGGAGTCAAATACTCCCCAAGAGCAGTTGGACTTCATCGTCAATGCTCGGCGTTTTGACCCCTACAGCAATACATACAATGAGGGGTGGTGCCAGCATCCCAACTTCGCTTGGAATAGTAACACCACTAAGCCACCTGGTTTCCCAGCACCAGTAGGTGGTTTTCAGCAGAGGTAGCCTTTCTTGGTTAGATAGGGGCCAGTCCCTCAACAGCAGGCCCAGCGTCACTATGCTAAGCCAGCAGCAGCCTCGGCTCTAGATAATCAGATGACGGATCTAAAAAACATTCTAGAGGCATTCATGACTACCACCCAGGCAACTTTCACGAGGATGGACCAGAGCATAGCCTCACTGGAGGCAGGCCAGAGGAATCAAGGTGCCATTTTGCAAGATTTACAGAACCGGATGGGTAGCATGGCTCGTCAAATTAATACCCGAGCCCCGGGAACTCTACCTGCCACTACCATCCCCAATCCACGGGAGCCGCACCAGCAGCTGAATGCCATCACCACCAGGAGTGGCAAGTCCACATCGGCGGTACCTGCCCAGGCTAGGGAGGAAGAGCCGCTGCCTGCTTCAGCACTTCCAGCCGATGATGTAGAAGTGAGGGTGGAGAAGGAAGCCCCTGCTCCCAAGCCACAACCAGTGGTTAAGGAGCATGTACCCCAGCTTCCCTTCCCCACTCGACTACATAAAGATAAGCTGGAGACTGAGTTTGCCAAGTTCATGGCAATGTTGAAGCAGCTCGATGTCAGCATACCCTTCATGGAGGCACTGTCGAAGATGCCCAAGTACGCCAAGTTCATGAAGGATCTCCTCAGCAATAAGAAGAAACTTGGGGATCTTTCGACAGTGATGCTGAGCGAGGAGTGTTCTGCCATCTTGCAGAACAAGCTGCTCGAAAAGCGCAAAGACCCAGGGAGTTTCACTATCCCTCTTAATATTGGTAGCATGCATGTAGGGAAGTCCTTGGCGGACCTAGGCGCTAGCATAAATGTCTTGCCATACAATTTGTTTAAAAAGCTAGACCTAGGTGAACTTAGCCCTGCTAGGATGAGCATTCAGTTAGCTGATCGCTCTATTGTGCATCCTAGGGGTATCATAGAGGATCTGCTTGTTAAAGTAGGCGCATTCACGTATCCTGTTGATTTTGTTGTTCTGGATATAAATGAGGATGTGGATGTGCCTTTGATTCTGGGTAGACCATTTCTTGCCACCTCCAAGGCACTTATTGATGTGCATAGGGGTAAACTGATCTTGCGTGCTGGGAATGAACAAGCTACTTTTTCTGTGGCTGACCTTCATCATTGTGATATGCCTGCTGTCACACCTATGCATGCTATTTCTCACCAGGTACACGAGCCTGTCGTGTACCCCCCTGTGCATCTCGTTTTGCAGGACCCCCCTCTCACGCCTTCGCCGCCACCCCCAGCAACCTCACTTCCCAATAAAAAGCTCAAGGAGGAGTGGCGGCCGAAGCCACAGGTGGCTAAGCCTTCTTGGAAGAAAGGTGGAGACCACTATGAGCTGGTCCCACCTCCTGCATAACGACCACCCTGGCTATCCGAGTACTCACTCGCCTGCATCTTGCCGGATGGCCAGGTCGAGCTGACCAATGCTGGTGGTCGCACCCGTCGGGTGCATGGTCACCATCTGAAGCTGTACCTCAAGAGCGATGTGGATCCGCTCTTGGAGGCACATGCTCCTGCACCCCGCTGAGTATCCACCATGGGCGTCCAGCTAAAAGACGGTAAAGAAGCGCTTGTGGGGAGGCAACCCCACCACGGTTTTCATTTATTTCTTTTGTTTTGAGTCAGATTGTAAACTGGTTTGATTTTGGTTTGTTTTCTTTTATTTTGGATGATGTATTATTGGGCTGACCATTGGACCTATATTGTGTTTGAGTTCTTTTGTTCCCTTTAGCTATGCTTTGTCCCTGACTGGTCCCCTCTCCAGTCCTCTTCGCTCAGACTGGTCCACTTCCAGTCTCATGTAGTCCGTGCACACCGGTAACATCGTTCCCCTTATCTTTCCCTCTTCTCCTTTGAGGGCAATGTCGATCTTAAGTTTGGGGGGGGGGGGGATGTTTCTCTTTTGACTGCATTAGATCTGCTTGTGTGCTTAGAGCCTAGTCCACTGTCCAAATTTTTAAATTTGAGGGCTCCAAGTACGTGTTTCCTTGCAAATTGCCTGCTCAGTATGCTTTGAATTGGCAGTCTCTATAGTAATGTGCAACCTAGGGAGGTAATGTAGCACTATGGAGGATGTTGAAGTATAAGATTTTTCCTATCTAGCTCTCTGCTGTGCCACTTGATTTTGTGAATTGGTGGAGCTAGGATCGTTGAATTCATGTGATAATG